TTTTGGAAGTTCGGAATTTCCAAAAACTTGACGGTATCGTTTTTGGAATTTTGGATTTTTGGAATTTTTAATTATCGAGGAGTAGGTCTTGGGGGGGGGGAGGGGCTAGCATATATATATATAGATATATGTATGTGGAACCCCCCAATCTGCCCACTCGTTTTTAGTTTTACCCCGATAACATTACAAAACAGCTGTACTGTCCCAATTTAGACCCAAAAACACATGCTATACCGCCCCCTTACAGGCCTGGGCTCCCCAACACTTCCGAAACAGTTGCTTCATTGGCTGTTGTAGGTTTATTGGAACACAATGACTTTTTTGTTGCACGATGTTAGGCTTTTTGTGACAGTACATTGATTTGTCCGTTTCCGCACTGGAAAAAATGAGGTACTGCGCCAATAAGACCACGAAACATGCAAACCTTCTGTGGTCACCAAAAAGTAAAGCCTTTGTTTGCAGAGTCTTCCCGACCTGAGCTAATCCAGACTCTTAAAGCCTCGGTTTTCATGGGACACTAAACTCACTAAAGCATTTTTGCGCAGTTTTGTTGTGTTGGGACAGTAAGAAACATGCTCTGTCCCAACAAAACCAAAAAACTGCCCAAATGGAGTACCCTCACAATAAAACCGGAAAAAAAAAAGACACACACACATGTTTTGGAGTGTCTTCCAGGACTGGGCTTATCGAGACTGCTGAAACATGTTCTTCGTTCGTGTTATTGGGACGGTACAGCATGCTTGCTCAATTTCATGACTTTTTGCTTTTGGGCCGGTACAGTATTTTTCCGTTCCCTGGCTGCAAAAAAGGCAGTTCTGTCACAGCAAAACCAATGCTAGGAGGTTCTTCAAAAGTCATCGGGCGTCCCATAAATCCTGTCAGCGTTCTTGACAAATGTGATTAGAACGAATTCCGGAGTCCTTGAATCCTGGATTCCTTGTTTTCCAGCTGGTTTCAGTCTCCATACATCCCTCAGTAAATGTAAATTGAACGAAGGATACCAAAATCCTGCAATCCTGGACTCCCGCTTTTTGAGCTGATTTAGCTCCTCACAAGACTCTTACGAACTTGGGACCCAAAAAACAAGCTCCCAGGCTACTGCCCAGCAACATCCATATTTACAGCCAGGCATGCGAGGCGATTGCATCTAGACCCATGTTGCCGGCGAGGAATTGACCTTCCCGAAACCCTGCACAAGCCAGCATCATCAGCGTACAAAACACATTTGAACACCCTCTCCAAATCCTGGAGTGGCTCCGGCTCCTTGAAAGTGCTGAGTAAAGTCGGCGAAACTGCTTAAGCGGAGGCATGCAAATGACAGAATGCCAATGCAAACTGCACAGACGACAATTTATCTGGCTGAACGCAAGATAAGTGCGAGTCTTGTTCGGAATTGTCACGCTGTGAGGAGGGATGATGCAACGCGATGCCGAACAATTGCGTTTCCTGGCCTCATTCAGCTCTGAGCGCACAAATGCCTCCGCTTCTTCCGTGACCGTTATGGCCTGCCGCATTTCCCGAGGCTGGTCTCAAAACTGCTGAGCCATCTAGACATCGCTTGAAGTCCATGTTCATGCAGGCACCTACTCTGCGGAAGCGCACCTCAAGCTTTGAACAAAGATCTTCGAGCTTCTCTGCATCCAGAAGGAGACAGAAGTCCTGAAGCTCCTCGAAAACATCAGCACTCCCAGCACAGCAGCCAGCTAACCCGAGGGTCAGAAGGGTGAGGCCTTCCTTGCAGACCAGCTTCATGATTGATGTTGGTATACATTCAGGAACAACAGGCACGAGTAAATACACTGGATGGTGCAGAAGATAGGTGCCAAACATGCCTCAGCCATATCCACGAACAAAGCAACACCTTTCTTGCCCTAAGGCCCCAAGGTCTGACGGCCTGAAGTCCTCTCTAGACATGCCCACTTTGAACTCTTGCGCGCAATTCTAAAACCCCCTTTAAAGCCACCATCCATCATGTGACATGCACTCCTCAATCTCCAGTTGCTGTAGGGAACACTTCGCTTGCACGATCCTTTTGAACCGCTGCCGCAAAGTCTTTGCTGCCTGAGAATGTAAATGAGCTGGTCATGGCCAAAGCCTTTAGCTCTGCACAGTTTTTCAGCGGTGGCCTGCTTGTCCTGCTTGCGCTGCTCGCGCAATATTCGCTCCTCACAAGTCTCCAAGTGACTTTTTCCTGATGCTGGCGCAACTGTCTGGGCCGTGGGCTCTCTCTGCCTGTTCAGCTTCCTCTTGTTCAGCTTTCTTCCTTCTTTCCTTGGCAGACATTCTGCATGTCTGCAACTCTTGTGAAAAGCTTGCGGCACCTCTTCTTCTCTTTGCTTTGCTTCTTGCTCCTCCTGCTTTGCTCGAGCCCGCTTCTCCTCGCACGGCTATGCGTCAACGTAAGGGCTGCTTCCTCCCCCCGAAGCACCAGGATCTTCACCAAAACCCACAAGACGAAGGGGCGCACCAACCAATTCAACAAATACAATATACACACATATGTATATATATATGTGTGTGTGTGTATAAGACAAACCTTTTACTCGAGCCGGCTCGCCGCTGACCAAAGGAATACCGGGTCATCAACAACATCCGCTACCGGGTCTCGTGCGGCTAGCCTTCTCATCCCGCTTCTTCTTCTCGCGCGCCTGAATACATGCTCCGGGGTTACCAACAAGATTGAGATGTTAGCCAGCCGCCTCCTTTTCAGCACGTATTCGCGGATCAAATCTTTCTGCCTGCCGTTGGGCAGAATAGAACAAGTGCCGACTGCACAAGCGCCGTATCTGTATTCGACTTCTCAGTAATAGCGTCAGCCGTGTGCTGATCTTGTCATGCAAACCACGCAGTTCTCACTTCCCACCCAAGCCATCCCAAGCTCAACTCATAGAACTCTCAGTGCAATGCTTGCAAATTTCACAAGCAGCGCTGTCGGCAAACGAAGCTTCAGTGACACTACGTTGAGACAATGCCCCGAGTCTTAGGAATCAGGCTTAGACAAACTCAACATACGAACTGAGCTGCTATTTCATCTGCATCTTTGATCATAGGTTACCTCAAACCTTGACCAGCTTCACCGACCATTGGCCACTATGTATGTCATCAAACGGTCAAAATACTTGTCCATGTGACACCATCACGCAAATCCGACCAAACCACAGATTTCTAAGCATAGTCAGGCATCAACAAAGGGCGGGCGCGCGGAACATTCTGCAGCCATTGTTCCAGGTAATTCAAGAGGCTTCTGCGGCGAGCAGCATATCATGTGACGGCTGACAAGGAGTCGTATGCCGGCACCGCATCTGGAACCTCGCGCACATAGTCGGGCCACCCAGCAAGGGATGGGATGCCCGTGGCCGCCCGTGGGCCGGCGAGCTCGGTGGCAGACACAGTGGCTTTGCTGGCAAACGCCTCAAGCACAGATGAGCTCTATGACCAAGGTGTCCCAGCAAGCCTCCACCCCAAGTAGTCAGGGAGAGGAACCTTCTGCGCCACTGGGAAAGCTCAACAACTCCCAACGACCCAGGCAAGGCCTGTACGGGATGAAGCTCCAATCCGTTTTGCAGACGGATCGTCTGACCCGCAATACCCTTTTCTCAACAGTGCGCTTACAGTATAAGTCTGCTACGGAAGTCTGGCCCTTGCCCAGAAGCCACTTTGCTTTTGACTTGGAGTGCTCAAATCTTAATTGTACGAACGAAGCACCAAATACTTGAGTTTAGTTCTTGCCTCCGAAATGCAGGATGTGATGTTCCCCAAGCTCAATTTGCCCGACAGACCCCACCTCCGAGGAAAGGTCGTAGCGGAACGGCAAACTCACGATATACCTAAACTCCGCACAGAGCGCCGATAGGGGCCTTCCCCAGATAACATTGAAAGCATGAAAATGCGAATTACATCTTAGCATGTCTTAGCTTGGCCGGTGAAAACAACATTTGATTTCAATGCTACTTCTCCATAAGTCTGTAGATCCTAACAACAACTTGTCGAGCCGCCTGGGCAAGACAATGAAGATTCATGATACCTGCGAGCCAGTCCCCGAATGGGGGACACACGGCAGCCCATCAAGGACGACGAGATTCTGGAACCGCCTCCTTCTGTTGTGAAGACCCTGAAGTTCCACTTCTTTGTGCTGCCCTGAGCACAGCACCAGCTCAGCTCTTCATGGCACGATCTTGGTGATAGCAGTGCAACACAGACCAGATGCAGCCCTCAGTGTTTGATGAGGTTGAAGCGCTGATCCTGGGAGTGCCCGAGGAACAGAAAAGTTCCCAATTTCATGGTCTTAGTTTCCGCGTGATCTAATCTCATTTTCTGCCTCTTGCGGGATGGAAGCTCTGACTGCGTGATGCTCAAGAAGCAAAAAAAGCCAATAGTGGCAATCAGCCAAGCCAAGGAAGCAGTCCCCTTTTTGCTGGAGATCTTCTTCTTCTTCTTGCTACTGCTGCGCTGCTCAACAAGAAGTTCGTGCACGGAAGAACTCGCGGCTGATCAGCCGCCAAATGCTGTGTATCCTTGAAGGGACGTTTCATCCACACCGTGTTGAGATCCTCTGAGCCCCCAGCAGTTTCCACAAGCCGCATTATCCTTTTGCGTTCAGCCTCGACATACCTTCGTCAACACTTTAACATCCATGCATTGCAGGCAAAACGGCTGTACTGGAGGCACTTCTTCCGCACTCGCTGATTTTGTCTTTCCATCCAGCGGCGTTCCTGGCAGTGGCTAGCCCCAGGATTCCCCAGGAGGTAAGCAAACTTTGTAGGGAGCCTCGCGGAACTCCGCATCATCTAGGTTGTACCTTGCCAGAATTTGACTTTAAAGAAAGCACCTGATGCTTCCTGGCATGTTGAGGAAGACGGGCACTCATCATGCATGGAGAAATCTCTCCAGGAATCGAATGATAGCCAGAAGTCATAGAACTCAGTCAGGGCAGCAGGGAACTGACTCTATATACTTGTACAGGTCATCAAAAGCAATCGAAGACTGCGACAAATGTAAAGGGTGCAGTGTGGCCTTGCGGACCTTGGCCATGTCGGTTTGTTCATCACCAAGTTCTGGAACAGGGAACCTTCTACTATGGACTTGCACATTCCAGAAGTTTATACAAGTTTCTGTAATGGAGCCTTGTGCTCCATCGTGCGTTCAGTTTGAAGACCGGCCCGAACGTCTCATAAAAGCCACACTCTGCCACCTAAACATGCGCAGCAATCTCATTGATGTCACATTGTGAGTTGCAGAGTCAAGTACCTCATCTGGAACTGCATCATCGAAGTCTAGCGTTGAGTCATACCTAGTGAGAAGCTGTTCTCTTCAGAGCGACGATTGCGCAGCGCTCTGTGCCCCTGGCTGACGTCGCTTCGCTTGGTCAGCCAGGATCTGCCAGAGCAAAGCGAAAGATCGATCAAAGTCAACGTTCCTTGCTTTTCTTTCCCAAGATTCATGGAACGTATCCTGCAAGAGATGGACCCTCAAGGAAAAAGCGGCTTGCGCTGTTTTGGTGCAGCATTTCCCCATTTCGTGCTGCACTGTCCTTCTTGGTGGTGGCCATGAATGCGCAACGTGCCGCACTGTCGACATCATTATCCCCAAAATGCAGTTGCCTCGTAAGCCTCCTGCACCTTGATGAAGTCATGTTCCTGCACACTCATAGCCCCAAAGCAACTGGTTACCAGTTCTCGCAGCATGCGAGTGTAGATTGCGCTACGAGCGCGTCCTTCTCGCTCAGGCCATTAGTTTTGCCTCCGGTGTCTCCTGGCTCAAGGCTTTTGGAAGTGCAGACACAATTCAAAATGCCTCTGCGCCTTGCTTGTCGGGATGGTACTGCAAGGCCAGCTTGCGGTACTGCTTCTTGATTTGCTGCATGGAGACACAGATCTGAGAAGCACATACAGCAACCAGGTACGCCAGCAGCCTCCACTGACGCTGTCTCACTGACTTCCAGCAGCTCATAGAGATTTTCACCTAAGGGCAGGTATCACGAGTCATGTTGCTAACATCCAAGAGCATAAGGGAAATCAGCCTTGATCAATCAAATCAATTTCCAAGCAAACCTGCAATCTTGACTGGACTCAGAACCCTACCCACCAGAAGTGGGCTAAGCCTCAAAGCACCAGTCCGTCCAGTGGCCTCCTTCTTCTTCTTCCTACGCATTGCACGCAGCAGAGATGCTGGAGCAGTGCTGCAAAACAGGAAACACAGCAGTTTCCGACAAAGCCCCATACACCGCCTCCATGCATCTGTTGGGGGAGAATCGTCATCACTGGCAGCCTCCTGGTGATATGGGTATGACAAGCAAGCTCTCAGAGTCTGTTTGCATTCAGTGGCCTGCTGTCGACTGCTCTCATGCCGTTTCTGGCCCTTCAAGGAGTTCATTGAGCACGAACAGCCCAACTCAAATCCAGGTGCCTTGATTTTAGGCTTCTCGTGGACGGCATGGAAAGCATGACCTGCCGGCTCCAGTCTTCGCCTTGCGATTTCTGGTTTTGTGTGGCAGCACGACCGCACAATGCTCACTGAGAAATTAGCGATCGCAGAAGAATACCGCAAAAGACTTGCGCCACCTTGCGGATGCAATGCGCTGCCAAGATTGCGCTGCCAAGTGTCATTCATGCTCAAGGTTAAATCCATGCTCTGTGCTGCTGTGGCCACATCTTCTCCGCAGCCCGGCGCTGGCAGTGCCAGCATGCAGCTTGCGAGGGGTTGCTGCGCAGCAACAAACTTTGGAACTGCTTGCTGGTGTGTTACAATGGATGGCCATGATGGTACATTGTTTTTTCGCTGTCTCGGCACAACGGATGTCACGTTGAGCTGCGGGATGCAACTGACAACCGGCTTCTACGGCCTGGACTGGTGTCACTGAACCAAACCAAACTGTCGCCGAAAACGTCACACTTTCGGAGCTTCCTGACTATTCGCGCCAAGTCTTGTTTTCCGTCTACCTGGCTATGCTCTGGCGGAAGAGTAGGATGCCTTTTGGTGGCAAGCCCTCTGTGGCAAGCCCTCTATAACAATCTTTACAACTTCAGTCACAGACGGGAGGCATATATCAAGCTCCACCCACATCCCTGGAGGCACGAAGGTAGCAGGAAATTTGAGACAGTCCTTCAGCTACCTCTAGCAAAACAAATGCCATGAGTTGAGACGCTTCCTGCCCTGGAGCCTACATGAACGACGTCTATCTACATGGCACCTGACTCAATGGACGCAGAAGGTCATTTTCACGAAATCGATGGCTTGCTGTCTTTCCAGCATGTTTTCGTATGAACAAGGCCAGGCCTTAAGAGTTCCGCCTTGAGCCAGCAGTTTGTTTACTGGCCTGACGTCTTGGAAGCGATGTCCTGGGTTGTGAAACTGCCCCTGAGCGCAGAAAGCGATGTTGAGCCACCCGCAGATCAGGTGAGACCAGAGTGCCAATTCAGCTGACCATGCCCTGCTGGATTGCCTGCTTTCAAGATCTGCACGTATCAAATGCCATAGATGTCCGACTGCAAGAATCGAAACATCCCATCAGCTTTCTCAATTTTGATCCGCTGATACTCCGAACATCATCTCAGAACGGAGGCAGGCCCCACTCTTCTGGACGAAAGTCCTCTGATGCAAACGCCAAGACATGCCAAGACTCATGGTCCTGCTAGGTTTAACATGACAACATCCTCCAGAGTTGAAAGCTCGCAGTGGGCTCTTCCACATAGGTCGCGAGAAAGATTGCTATCCGGAACATGGCAAACCTGGCAGAAGGTTTGCCTAGCTATCCAACATCCGTAGGTTGCAAGGAAACAACTGATCAGCGCTGACTGAAGTGCACAAGCCCTGCAAGCCTTCACAGCCGCAAGAGGGCCCGAACGCAACAGAAACGAAATACATGTGAGCTAGTGAAAACTTCACAGCAAACTTCCTGACCCAGCTGATATGGTAGTTGTCGGAATGATGGTCCCTGTTGTTGGGGTCCCCGTTGTAATACGGCCCTGAATACAATAGGCAGGGTACCCAACTTGTTTTGAGAGGCCCTTATATGAGTTCCACTCTTCAATACAGCCTGCAAAACTCTTTATGAGCGGTACGCAGTCGCATGCGACTACCTGACTTGAAACCAGTAGCCGCATTCAAGCTGAACTCGGTTTCCTCTCATGAAGTTGCATACTTCCAAGCAGCTCCGTAATCTCACAAGCATGAAAAACGCCATAAGCTCCAACTTGTTGAGCACAAACTTCAAAATCTACCGACACCTCACTTGTGTCAACGGTGCGCCTGCATTCCTGCAGCAAGGCCAGCTTCTACGCCGCTGGGAGCATCCTCCGAACAAGAACATCGAAGCTTGCAGTTTGTTAATACAAGACTTCCAGGCCTCAAAGACTAGAATGTTGTCTGCCACTGGTGCTCCATCGAAAATGCTTGAAGCATGGCAAAAAATCTCTGGATCGGGCTTGGACTTGCTGACCTGCAGCTGGCTTAGCTGTTTGACACGAGCTTGTGCTTGGCACCGTCCTCCTGCCTGGTCTCCAGTCACAACATGATGCATCAGATCGAAAAGGTCTCGATGCAGAGTTGTCTTCAGGTCAAAGTGGCGACGGTGAGAGGATGTTGCCACCGCCATCGGCACGCCGTTCCTGCATGGAATCTGTCCAGACTTTGAATAATGCTGCGACGAGCGCCAGTCTGGCTGCTCTCCGCTCATTCCACTGGCAGGCCTGTGCAGGTGACGCACCAGCCGCTCGACGCCCGGTAGCAGAGCAGCTTTTGCGAAGAGCACCTCCAACCTTCTAAGGGACAATCGCCGCTTGGGCAAGGCCTGGGCACCTCTCTCTTCCATCAAACTGACCTCCTCTCTCTCTCTGCAAGAAAATCTTCAGCAGAGATGGCATCTCCCAGCTCCAAGGCGTCAATGCAAATCTGACACGCATCCAGTGCCTGGCAGAAAAGCGTCATGCTGTGATTTTGACCTTGTATGGGTAGAAGTGGCACTACTCCCATCAACTTGTCACGCAACTCAAGGAGAAAAGATCACACTGCGTTTTGCCCCTGCAGCTTTGCGCGGCAGGAACTGCCAGTGGCAGGCAACAGTCCGGAATACAAGAAAGAGCACATGCCCCGTTACAGGATAAGAAAAGTCCTTCTAGAACTCAAGAAAATCATCAGGCTGGTCAAACCGGGAGCTCCTTTCTATGCCCTTTCAAACGCACTCCATCTATCCACATCAATTCCTTGCAATATCAACGGCACCATGCCCGAGATTATCTTCTCGATGTCTGTACTTTGGGCAGTGGTTGCAGTATATGAAAACTTGGAAAATGTTCTTGCATCTCTTGCAGCCGACCGAAGGTCTTCGCTGACAAGCTTCACAACATACGGGCCAGAAGTGGCACCCGGCTCAGGATTGTTGCTCACAAAGGCAAACCAAGCAACTCGGACCTGACCACCCTGCGCAGGCAGCTTCAAGCATCGCTTGAAGGTTTAAAGCTTACACTGAAACATGCTTCGTGGAGAATACCCCTAGGAACATGAACAGCCAGGCCTTGCCTTGGAGATGAAGATCAGATACTTCGGCTGCAGAATTCGTGGGGGAACTTTATGCTGCATCACAAAGTCGAAGCCGGGACTTGCACTGATGAAATACATGATCCTATCGACCACCGCCCATTGCGATGTCATTCCAAGATCAATGGCCCCAGGAATACGGCCAAGTTCTTGCTGCAACCACCTGGTTTGGACACAGAACCAAACGGAAACAGGCACCGAGCACGGAGCACGTTTCTGTGACTTGGGCAGGTGCCATTTCAGCTTCTGGTAACACACCTGTCCAGGACAACTTCAAGCCAAGTACGGTCTGCAGGCCCCTCGAACCCTCGGCCTTCTCTGCGGCTGCATCTCCACTTTCAGGACTCATTCCTGGGGGGAACTCGATCGGGAGAAAGCGGCCAGCTTGACGCTCCTCCACTGTGAAGACCCAGAGGTCCTGCCCAACGTCTGATGTTGTGTAGTGTTGAAGTAGATTCCTTGAAGCCATTATTTCAAGCAAATGTTTCTTCTGGCTCGAAGAGAAACAAGTTTGATTCAGGAAACTGAAAGACCATCCATGTCAGTGGGCCAGAGCTGCCGCATGAGGTGTACAAGGTCGCTGTAACACGCACATCGTGGGACAGGCTGATTCACAGGCGTCGGGCCCGAGTTTACATCTGACTTCCCAGCTGAACAAGTCGGTGCCAAAACGGGTTGAGCATTGGTATTTGCAGACATGCTGAAGACTTTTCTTAGCCTAGGCTGCACGAATGACCCGAAGCCGCCTTTCAAAGGCCACAGCCCCAACAACATGTCCAAAGGCAGCTCCCGCTTCGTCGCCACGATTCGGCAGAAGTCTCGCCGACGCTCTGACATGGATTGGGCATTTGCAGGGTCCTGCAACAGAATGTTAGGTTGGTAGGTCTCCAATCCTAACAATCAGGCTGGTGGTGTCCATCCTTTCCTATCTGCTTGATGTAGCTGAATCCACAAAAACTCTGGCAAAGACAGCTTTGCATTTGAAACTCTCAAGAAGCCTGCCTCGTGTTCAAAGCTGCCTTGCGGCTTCAGCCTGCCTGGAAGCGACCTGCCACGCAATTTGCAAGGATATGATAGCGAGGAACAGACTTTCCGCGCCTCCGCATGAAAAATCTCGCAGCAGCCAGAGTCAGCACGAGTAGTCCCAGTCCAACGGCCTACCAGCAATCCCGTCATGCCGCAAGGGTGCTCTTGAAGTACGTCCCTACAAACACCTGGTGGTACTCGATGTTCGGAAAGCCGTTACCATCCATGCCTTCGCAGTCTTGATAAGTCTATTGTGTACAGCAGGGCCAGCTGGACAGTCTTTAAGGGAGACAGCCCCTTTTGACAAACTACCCACATGCGTGTTACAAAAAAAGAGGTGCCCCGGCACTGTCCCGTGGTACTGTCCCAGGGTAACCTGCAGAGGCTCCGTCAGAAAGAGCAGGAAAAGCATGAAAGGCTCAGCTAAAATCCGCAAACGGTAATGCTACTGGTTGAAGTGTGTATCCTTACGCCCTGTGGTCGGTGTCGTGCTTGATTCCTCGAAGCATTACACTGCATGCGGCTATGCATCCAGCAAAGCGCACTACCTGTCTGCAAGCATCTTGAAACTCCAGCTGCTTGCTCAGCAATGTTTGGGCCGAACGCTTGCGAAAGTGCTTTTGTTGTGTGGCACCAGTGTGCAACACGAGTCTTGTCCACCAGATTCAACAACGCCAAGAGTTCAGAGCACTGCAGAAGTCAGCCTTCTTGCCCATCATTTTGGCCTTGAGCTCCCACGTAAACTTCCTGCGGTTCTCATAGAAACGCAGCTGCACACACCAGCAAGACAACAGAGATCTGCCAGCCGTGCCTGTTCCACTTGTCTAGGATCTCTTGCTGCGCAACACTGTAGGAGCCTTGAGCGACATAGTCTTGCTGAGGAAAAGGAATGCATCAGGGCCAGGCTTTCTGTGTCCAGAAGAAGTCCGTCCATGTCAAAAATGACATGCGTCACAGCCTGCAGCTGCCCACCACACATCGCCAGTTCTCGCGTGCTCTGTGACGGAGAGGCGCAGACCGGAGCTTTCGCACGGCTCAGCAGCATACGTAGCGGCTCCAGGGGCAGACCCTGGACGGAGTCGAGGGTTCCCTGAACCAAGAAATAGAAACAAGCTTGAGAAAGAAAAGCTGCCACATATCATTTCGAATGCCTCGACACGATCCAGGTAGGGTTGAAGCAGCTCGTCTTCGACCTTCCATTTCTTGGAACGGCTAGAACTCGGAAATCACCGTGGCAGCCAGTCTCAGCAAAGAACCACAACTCCGCCGGCACAGGTGAATAGATCACCTTTTTTGATCAAGGCATCAACTACCTTCAGGGACAGCACGGAAGTCCATGAGGCCAGCGAGGCACAGGACGAAGACAGATTCTGCATCAACTTCAAGCCTCATCCGGAAAGGGCAGAAAGAATGCTCTTGAAGAGTTGAGCGAAGAAGCAAGCCTGTCAAGACTTAGAAGCTCTCAGAACTCCAAGCTTGGATTTGCCTGCCTGGCAGTTCCTGCATTCAAGACCACCATTCCATTGACGAAGCTAGCAGGCTTGCCGTCCCTGTCACGATGCGGCTCAATGGCAAGTACAAATTGTGTTGGTGTAGCGATCCTGTAGGACTGCAGGAACTGCCGTGCCTGAAAGATGAACAGCCATCCCTCTCATGGATCGCAGCGGCAAGAGGCAGAGACGTCTGGCCTCTGCTTCGGTCTCGGGTTTCTCCCGTATCTGGCCATCACAGCTGACCACCTGACATAAGACCGACATTTCACAACACACATCGCTGCTGCTTAGATGGTGCAAAGACCACGCCTGATCCATACACACCAACAATACATCCCTGCCCTGGATCTTTGGGGCAAGGGCATCTGCCTGGCCACAATAATTCCAAGCATGCACTCTGCACACATCAAACAGAACTAACACAACATGAACCTCTCCACCCTAAAGCAAGCTGGCTTCTTCAGTTTGAAGCCTTTGCCCGGGCGATTGCCATGCACATCTCCTCCGGCTTCTCAGCCCGAATTGCCTTGACAAAGCGCATGTGGCGCTCCACCACACACTCAGTAAAACCAGTAGACAAAGCACTGCACCTTCTCATCGATGTCAGGGCTCATATACTCTGAGCCGCATTCAGGAAAGTGTTGCCTCCAACTTCTAAGTGAGCTTCTCAGCTACAACCCGTCAGTATGAATTTTGCTGGCATCTTGCGGCTGTTCTCAATGGAGCCGGGCCACGCAAAGATGGCCCTTCGCCACTTGCTGGAGGAACCCAAGATCACTGCTGGACTTGCAGTCTTGGGCCGCTTCCTTATCAAGTGATCTGGTGGGATCTTGGCTTGTCCACTCACTCTCTTTCCCCCATGATTTTAGCACACAGTCCGGCCGTTAGGTGTTCTGGGTCGTTTTGCCCCTGCAATGGGCGCTTTTCTCAATTGCTTTTCTCGTCAAGCTTGGCGATTTTCCTCGCCTTTCTCACTTCGCGAACATGTCTGCTCTGCCTTGCTTCTGTGGCGCTCAAGCAAGGAATCAGGGAACTTTGCTTCGGCCAACTTCCCTCACTGTACACAACCTGCTTAGAAAGCACCAAGAAGCTCTCATCCTGAGCGAATTGCAGAACCCTCTAGCCGTTCTCAATTCTTGTGGTGTCTGCACTGATTTTGAATTGTTCGTGCCTTGTGAATGTGAACTATGCAGGGCTAGTGTCCTTCTTCCCCTGTGCCATGCTTCCCCTGCTTAAGCTACCAATCCAAATCCTGCCCACTTCCCCCATCATTCTTCCAAAGGCTGGGTTATCGTGAGCCCGTCCATGCTGCCAAGCGCGCACAAATTCCCGTGACAATGTCAATACATGTCAATACTACGTCTCTTTGCAGACCTGGCCATTTAACTGCTACAGCAAGATAATTTCAAGGCTAGCTCCACTATCTATCGTGATTTGCTCGAAAATGCAAGAAAGATTTTAGCACTCTTACAGCACAGCATAATGATGTGTGTGTGTGTGTCAAAGTATGTGGTGCAAGAAACAGTCACAAAATGTAACCTCTGTCTTCGCTGTCTTTTGCACGATCATGAGACCGAAAAAAAAAATGACTGCAGTCATTTGCCGCACACAGACAGGGTTTTTTCCCCGCGCTTGTTGCGTTTATCCGCCCTTTTTTCTCTGTTTCTTGTGTGGTTGCCTATCTGGTCTGCGCAAGCGATGCATGCAAGGAAGCCTTTGCAGACCGAAGATCGCCGTCATCTCACCAGTAATCGCCATGGCAACCCCGAGCTACGTGAGAATAAAATCCCAGAAAACAAGGGCCCTGAGCTACGAGTAATCTGCATATTGACATGAGAACCTGGACTGCTACGCATGGTAATTCACTGCATCAAGTGCTTGTGATCCGAACTGCTACGCACCACTCTCCAAAAATAGCTGAGCATGCTAAGCGCCAATGGATGCAGTGCGAAGCATCAGCAGCTGCGAGAAACCGTCGGGCACCAAGTGATGCCTTCTCGAACTCCTCTCGCGTGATGGTGCCGCTGCCATCCGCATCAAGTCTGCTGAAGAGATCACCGCCAGCCTATCACAGCCCTCACAGCACAAGCCCAAGACTTCAAGAGCCGTGCCACGACATACCGGGAGCAAAGATATGTCAGTCTGGCCTGGGGCGCTGAGCCTGATTGCCTTGGGCTCTTTCATCTCGATTCCACACTGTGCATATCTGTGCACGCTCCGACCGGGCCAGCGGCACAGTTGCAAATGGGTTTGCTTGAGCGAAGCTGCCTGGGGCCAGACGGTTTTGTTTTGCACCATCTTCTGTCGCAAAAGAACAACTGGCAGCTGCCTGACCCTTGGATGACGGCTGAACTCGGCGCCCTCAAGGCAAAACGTGAGAAGAGATGCCCCCTAAATCATCAACAAAAGCATGCCAAGGTTACAAAGGTGGTGTCGCGGCGCCAGCCTCATGCCCAGTCTGTGCAAGATACAGAATCATAGACCATCAACCTTTTGAGATCTGGCTGGAGTGGTTCCGCTGCCAGCACCAGCAGGTGATGGTGCCTGGCTACCCGACAGCAGCCTTGCAAAATTCAGCAATCTAACTTGCCAGGCAGACGAACATCACCGATGGATAGGCGCTTGCAGGAGCATATGTCTGGATGCACTGCGACGGAACTGCAGGCGCTGCCATTGAGGCCTGTCATGCCATGTCGCGCCATGTCATGCCATATCTGATGGTAAAACACTGTCATGTCCAAGCGGCATAGAGGGCTGACGCACCGGTCATGCTTGGCAAAGGCGCGCCAGAGGCCTGCTCTGAGCTCTACATGGCAAATCACTTTCTGCAAAACATATGAATCTTATCAATGAGCAAGCCCCTTGGATTTCTGACTCGGTGTGCAGTCGTAGGTGCAATGGTCATTAGGTCATTTGTTGCAGAGCAACACCCTCTGCTGTTTCCTATCGAAGTCCGTGGAACGGAAGACTCATTGGAAAGTACCAATGCGCAGTTTCATTGTGTGCGCACATCTTCTCACTGGTACCAACAGCTTTCATTCAAGATGCCGCAGAAGGACTATGCAGTCAGCAGTGGTCTGCAGCCACTTCGGCCCGCAGCACGCAGCTTCATGTCCATTCACGCGGGCCTGCATGCCAGGTGCAACAGCACCAGGCGCCATGGAGCCAGGCGCCA